AAAAATCCGTAAATGAAAGAGAAAACTTTTATTTGTACAAATAAATGTTCAAGGTTGAGTTTGCGAACACTTTTAGTACAGTCGATCCATGAAAAAAAAACAGAGTTTTTCTGATCAACAGCTGCAGTGTCACAAGCATCCTATTTTCATTGATTTCTGCATTTTGTTTTGGTTGTGTGATACTGAGAATATCCTGATCCAGACAAGTATGTGATTGTAAAGGCTGTGGACTTTTTACATCTCATGCGACTGTCTTGCACCATTTCATTTCTGGAAAGTGGAATAGTTGGACTTGTATCTTCAAAGCTAAAACCTTTAGAGTAACTCAAAACTGTTCATATTACTTGAGAGGTCCTCACTGTTTGGTTAAAAGATACTTTTCAAAGGTATCTTTTTAGGATACATGAATCCTTATGTTTATAGCAGCATTAGTTACAACAGCCAAGATAGGGAAGCAGCTCAAATGTCCATGGATCGATGGATAAAGAAAATATGTATATATACATACATAGATACATACACACATATATACATAAAATGGAATGTTATTCAACCATAAAAAAGGCTCTTTAGTTACAGTTGTATGTTTATACCACAAATCTCTGATAAAAGTACACTTGATGTATAAGCTAATACAAACCTATTATTTCCGTGAAGTAGTTAACTAATGCAATTTCTTTATGAGCAAGAAATTTTCTAAAAAGTCGCATGTCCATTTTCATCAGACATTGGGGAGGGTATGTGCTATGGTGAGTGCTGTGAATTGTGTAAGACTGTTGAACCACAGACCTGTACCTCTGAAACAAATAATACATTATATGTTGTAAAAAAAAAAAAAACAAAAAAACAAGAAGATAGTAGGAAGGGAAAAATGAAGGGGGGGAAATTGGAGGGGGAGACGAACCATGAGAGACTATGGACTCTGAGAAACAAACAGAGGGTTCTAGGGGGGAGGGGGGTGGGGGATGGGTTAGCCTGGTGATGGGTATTAAGGAGGGCACGTTCTGCATGGAGCACTGGGTGTTACACGCCAACAATGAATCATGGAACACTACTAATGATGTAATGTATGGTGACTAACATAACATAATAAAAATAAATAAATAAATACATACATAAATACATAAATACATAAAATATTAGCACTTTGTTTTCACTTCCATTGATTGTAATGTACTGTTTCTTGTTTATGCCAAACAGAAGTACCTGAGCTCGTGGGCCTTTTAATTGTATGTGATTCACACACACTGTGGTGGCAATGTACCCATTTGTACAATTATCCTCATTAAATATGCAAAGACGTATATTTTTTTAACCGACCATTGCAGAGCTACAGACTTTCTAATTAATGGCACAGTTTTTACTTTGTTTGTTTATATGTGCATTTGGATATAAATGTGTATGTGTAGATATGCATATCTATGTTTTTATCTATCTGTGGAGGAGGAAGAAGATGAGGAGCCGGAGGACAGGAAGTTATTTTTGTCTGGGAGCAGAATTTAATGCTGTTAGAGTCATTAATATGACAAAATGTTTCTATAGAGCACACCTTAGTATGTTTTTATTATAGGGTTTTTTTGTACTTCCAAAATGAGGCAATAATTAGTTTGAACCAAGTTTTACAGAAACTGTGAAGAGTTGCAGTTATAACTCAATGTAACAAAGTTTGAAAAATAATGGTTTAGCTGAAGGCCTTTATTTCTTTTTAAAATGCAAATACCTCTACTTTCATCTGCAATCAGTCATTTATACATTAATGTGAGTGAATTTATTAGACATCTTTCCAAGGCCTAGATTTACTTCAGTGGAGGGGGAAGCAAAGATAAACTCGGCAACAGAAAGTCGTGGGCAAGATTGAGGATGAAGGCCAGGAGTACTGAACAGCTACTTGGCCTACTTTATAATTGTGCTTAAAGACCATGCCAATTATATAAAACACACTTATTTGTATTTCCAAAAGCAAAAATGAAACAAAACACAAAGACAAACCCACAAAGAAAATATCTACGGAATCAGATGAGTCTGAATATGTTTCAGAATGGCATCCACCTGTTCTAGAATATTCTGCTAGAACAGTAATGTAATTAAAAGAATTACTTATAATTTTGGTCAACTTGAGTTAAATCAAGCATAACATTTCCAACCAGTGAAATTATTAACTGACAATACTCTGATCTTATGCTGTGAGTATCCTCAAAGACTGCAAACAAATTAATTGTGCAGGAGTCCCAGATAATGTACAGCATAATACAGTTGAGGATTTAATGCTCCAAAATGTGATCCTGTACCTTTGGTCTATGACATGTCTTTAAATTGAAAAAAAGTGTAAACCTATTTCTTAATTTAAATGCTTCTACTAAATAAAATAATTTATCTTTATTATAAAATTCTAGATATGTATGCCTCCCCTACTCTCTGTCCCCCACCAAAAACTTTCTAAAGTTGATGGAAATAAGCATCCACTTCAATACAGTAAAAGTTTAGTTTAAACTTCAAATTTTTTGCAGCAGCATATCAGAAAAGTTGTTTGTTAATATATCAAGAAAGTACTTCCTGAAAAGGAAATTATATTAAGTTTTTTATTTGTTTATATATTTTCTAAGAGTGAAAAATATATTAACGTGAGTCTGGGCTAAAGAAACGTGTTGAACTAGAATTGTATTTTTCATAATTCATTCTAAAGTCAATACTTATAATCATTTTATGTAAATTTGAAAATATATTTAGATTTAAAATACTGATTGACTCTCACATTTAGTACTATTGTTTTTGTGTCAAGATATTGAAGACAAAATCAAGTGATAGAAATATGTACCATTTAGGAAAGGGATCTATGCAGATATTTTAAATAGTAAATTTTACTTCTTGACTAGTAAGTATAACATTTACCATTAAGAGAATAGATTTGCAATCAAATCTTAGAAGCATTTTGAGATACGTCTGGCTATTTTGTTGCCAAATATATCAATATGAAAAAAATCTACATAAAATTAATAAAAAGGAAATACTGGTTAATATAGTCTATTTTTTATATTCAGCTGATAAGGTCATTTTTAATGATGAAATTGTCCTCATCTTGAAATAAAACAACACTCAAAATACTAGTATCGTCGGCTTCAAGAGAGGCAACAAAATGTTGAACCAAATCAGTTATGAACATACTTCTGTTATTGCTCATACAATGATCTTCAAACAAAAACTCTGATTTCTACGCTTTTTCCCTACCTTTGTACTGAGAAAAAAATGTATTCATGTCACAAACCCTATAGGTTCCCACTTTCTCCTTCGCCAAATTTATGGAGACTTAGCCCTAATAGTTCCACAACATTAAATAAGAAGACAAAATGGGAAGAGAGGTCTTTTTGTACAGTTATAGGCAATGACAGTCTATGACAATACTTCTGGCTGATTTGTCTGTGCTTTATTTCAAATGTGTATTACTGAAAAAAGCATACAGAGAGGGGCATGAGTGAGGCCAGCAAATAGCAAGCCTGTAGTAAGCACCATAGGGGTTATATAGACACTTGTCCTGGTTGAGCATAATCATGGAGTCTTATAAACTTCAATAGCTCAATAGGCAAACATAGTTGGCAGCTGAACATTGACAATAAATCAGATTTATATATGGATTATCAACATGCAAAGGATATGCCAAGTATTGGCATGTAGTGACCACATTAAAAAATTTAAAATTGTTATAGACATATATAAAACTTTTTTAATTATATGGACTATATTACTCTGTTTTATTAATCTCCTTAGAAAGCTATTAATCTTACATTTAAATATAAATACAATATTAATGTCAATAACCCCTATGAAATAATAATTATATCTAACACTCTACATTTTAAAATCCTCCATGTTTCCATATAGTTATATTCATTCTGAGTATGAAGCATTTTAATTAAGTTGGTATAAATTTGCTTGTACTAAATTACATGACTCTTCAGAATTTACCTCTTTAGGATTACCTATATATTTAAGGGGCTTCAAAAGCTTCTGTCATTGACAGGTTGTAATAAGCACTTCTTTCAAGAGAATAACAACTAATACTTTCTCTGCCAATCTTTGTCACACTCATAGTCACTATATCCCATATAACAGAAGTAACTGCTGGCTACCAGAACTTGAATCAGATACCTGAAGACCCTGAAAGATAAAGCTGTGTCCTACCACCATCAAGCCTACCAACCATCTTCACATTTTTTTGTTATTTATTTTTTAAATATATTTATTTTATTATTTTTCTTGGGCCCATAAAGGGGCCAACCTCTCCATATTCTGCCTTTGCTACACCGACCTGGCCAAGATGCTTTCTTGGCTATCTGAACGGCATCAATAGTATTAATTAGGTAGATTCTGGAATACACAAAAACTATTGGGGCATGACTGCTTATTAGAATACTACCAATTTGAGATCTCTGTCTATAAAATCTATCGACAAGAATTAGTTGTCATGTCCGAGCGTGACCTACATTACAGTGAAATTGAAAATTCTGATGCACAGCTATTCTCTCCCCTTTTGCTAGTCTTTTTTGATCTGTTTCCCAGGTCTCCTCATTGTTGTTATAAAATTTCTGGAAAAATAGCCGCAGATAACCAAAATTTTTTGTAGGGTATTTAAACATGTCATTCTACGTGGTTCTTAGAACAACAGCTTAATGTAAGAGAGCTTTGATGTCTTAGCCTGAGTGAACACAGCCGAAGACTAAAAAATCTTGCAACACAACATCGGAAAGCCTTAACGAGGCCCTTGTTACAACAATGCAAACATCCTGACCAAGATGATTACATTTCAGAACTTAATGTGCAATTTATCCTACATTATTATCCACTAACTACCCACACGTATTCTGTTTTCTGTGGGAAGGAGAATAAACAGAATGAAATCCAAAGAAGGAGAATAATGGGAAAAAAACCCATGAAAAATATAGCCAGTTTATATACGATTTTAGAATATATTATGATATATTTTAATTAAATATAAGAAAACTTACCCTGACTTGCAAACTTCAATTCTTTCGCATCTGTGAGTGTGGTCCTTTTGTCAGACCCTTTTTTCTCTATTCGGCGATGGCTTCGTCTTTTCTTAGACTCTCCCCAAAGATTGGATCCACCATGCATGCTTGGTATATTCAAAATAGCAATTCCTTCCAGGGAGATGTTTATTAAATCTATTTGTACTCCATCACACTGATCAGTGAAAAGAGAAAAAAAAAAACAGAAACAGTAAGATATTTGATCTTTTTTCCTTGATTTCCTCTTTTGCATTTCCTTATCTTTCAACAGGAGTTTTTAAGTCCAAAATCCTGCCATATTTAAATAAAACTTTTAAGAACACTTAAATCACTACTCTAAATGTCAATATAAAGGATAAAGCAGCCACGAACATTAATCAGTTATCATTTAAACATGTCTTTAAACATGATCAAATTAAATCATCAGTCTATCTCTGTTTACAGAAAACCACTGGGAAGGACACACATTAGCGTCTGCATAACCAGCTACAAATTTCCCATGTGTTACAAAAGAGGTTGAGTCTAAGAAGTCTGGTCAATGTTCAGGCAGAAATTTTAATGATGCTGCCTAGTTAGAACACACCGCAAGCCACTATTGGGACAAAGTAAGGAAATAGAATTCATAATTCGTGGTATCTCTTGTTTGGGCAGAGAAAGAAGTGGCTTAATACACTTTGGGGGAAAAAATAAAGTAAAAAACACCAGTTCAAAGAGACCCGAATGACATCAGAGTGGCCAAGGATGGTTTCTTGTACTAGATTAAGTTCCAAGCACAGTGTTACAGGCAATAAGAGGCACTGTTGTCTAAACGAATATGGAGGACCAGTGAGCCTGAGTGAGAGAAATGCCAAGAACAGCAGAAGCAATGTCCAACCCACCCTTACTCTATAGCTGTAACGATAGATCGAGAAAGGAAAATAATCAGCCAGATTTTTTGTTTGTTTGTTTGCCTGGTGACAAAACACCCTTTGATTGTGAAAAATATGAAACTTGGTAACAGACAATGCTTTGTGATATTCAGAGTGGCCACTTTTTAATCTTTTGATTTTTCTGTCCATTTCCACTGATGGACATGCGTGAAGAGTGCAAGGCCATGCTGTATTTTTGGAATTATTACTTATTTATTCATTTGCTTTGAGGTTTCTAAAGTGGTACTTATTATAAATGCATCCCAGATATCGTTCTCCCTTTGTCAGTTGTAAGTAAGCTGATAGGAGAAGAGATGCAAATTTATAACTCTTTGTTTTGCAGAGAACTTTGTTAGGGATATGCATTTCCTAGACTGAAGTATATTTGCGGTGGGACTGTTATTTGCCACATCTTATTTCAGAAACAAAACAAAACACTGATACTGACTTCATCTTTCTCTTTCTCATGGCAATGATGATTTTTGAACCTAGAAGAGATAATGCTCCACCAAAATGAAAAAAACAAACAAAAAACAAACAAAAAACCGCTTTTTCCACATTTGTCTCTTCGTACTGAATCTAATACTGCATCTTGTTCACTAAAATATAAAAACTGTGAAATAAAGCAACACGTCTTGAGTCTACTTGGCAGGGCAAGAAACAAATTCTAGAGAAGGTGCCAAGTTTTCATTCAATTTGTTTCAAAAGGGGTGAAACCGAGGTCTGGATGATGCCTTTTTTTCCCCCTAGAAACAAGCGATTTTGTTCCTCCTTTTCATGTATTAAATTAAGATGATTTCTTTTTACTAAAGAATTCTGCTCATGTGTATACTCACTTACCGCTATATATTCTAGATAAACAGATATTAATTTCATAATTAAAAGTAATCTTGTGTAAATACCCTGCAGGCCTCAATGAATCAAACACATACTGTGTGTCAGGCCTCCCACTGTCTTCAAGTGGAATGTACTGGCTGGATAATTAGATAGTACATATTTTTTAACCTTATTTGCATGCATATTATATCTTTTGCACACTGACAAGCAGCAGTAACAACAAAAGTCAGATTACCACAGGGAATTCCCACAAAGAAGTCTTCATTCCTTATAATTTGCAGCCTAAATTAAAATAATTTGATCTTTGACAAGGATGAAATGTCAAGCAGAAGGGGGTCCTCTACAAGCCACGGCCTGTGGCTTCTGAAATCTGCCTAATTTATGTCAGTCACTTCTTAATACATATTTAAGTATTACACGAAAAAGATGATAAATATGCAATCTGACACCTTTGGTATTTCCCTGCTGTTAATTTATAAAGGTCTGGCTTTCCCCAAACTGACTAAAATCATTTAAATAACAGAAGAATTGTGAAATAAGCTAGAGTTAGGGCCTGGCTTCCATTTTCACTCAATATTGAACACAGCAGGTAGTACACTAAGACAATTATTTGACTAGGCCTTAGAACCCCACTGTGACAAGTTACTTTCAGAATTAGTGAAGGAGTATTCCTTTGTTCATCTGTAGCAAAGAAGAGCAGTTGCAAATAGGCTTTTTGTTTTAATTGAACCAGGGGAGTTCCATGTGACAGCTGAAAAATATCAGCGTATACTATTATTCATGTTTTCACTCTTCAGAGTCTTATCACGTGTAGTTTCAAGGAAACGGAGTGAGCAGCTTTTCAGAAAAATGAAAAAAAAAAAAAAAAAACCCTCAAGTTCCCAAAGAAGGACTGATGAACACTGAAGTTCCTAGGAGAGCAGGACAACGTCCTTACATAAATTGCTATTTATTAATGATTTGTTTCCACTAGTTCTTGACCCCAGGTTACCTTCCTCTGTTTGCTTTAACATTATGTTCATTAGTCTGGAAAATTTTGAAGCTAGCTCTGATGGAGACCAGGAATTGTAGCATACCAATTGAGTGCATGGAAATAAAAACTGAGGTGAAGGAACAAGTTACAATACTTGGTTAGATAATATTTTCATCCGCTTTGAAAATTTATGATTTTTAAAAAGGTAGCTACGGAGGAAAAGAATATAAAAGCTTAAAAGCTAACAGCCTTGGTTAGTCAATAAATCCTGAATATTTTTATTCTGTAGAAAAAAGGTCATTAACATATAGTAAGTACTATGGGAGCTATTTGCAGAGTGCAATTCTGCGAGGCCATTGTCCATTCTTTTCAGTTTTAAAATGGAAGATCTTATTCCAGAGACAAATTTACTTAAAAGAAACGAAGATGATTTAAATTTTTCTGCCAATGTATTTTAATCCTCATTTATAAGCATACTTTGTACCATACTATACAGAGGTGTTAAAGACAAATTTTTTTTAAAATAAGTGTATTATTTCAGATTCAGTTAACATGTCATTTGATAGAAAAATTCACAATTGTGAGGAACTTTGGACAGCTGTAAGTACGGATAAATTTGATGAGATACAATTAATGATACACCATAAATATTTTTTTCCATAATGAGTTTAATTCTATGCCCAGGTCAGATAAAAATCATACCTAATTGCATTTAATCAAATGTAAAAACATTGCTTTGTTCATTGTATAAAATAGCATGGAGTAAAATGACTCACATAAGTCCAATTTTTAAGAGTTTCTGCAAATTCATATGTAATTCATAAGACAAGATTATGTACGTGTTTGCAGAAAACAACAGCGGCAAATCTACAAATTAAAATACACATGTACACGTTAATGGCCGAACAGTGTCTCTTCTGATATCTGAGGGCTGTGGTACTCCGTAAGTTTGATGTTTTTTGAAATGCATTTTATAAGTTTTATCTACAAAACACAGTGTGATACAGGGCCTCGGGACATGCCTTTTAGGTCAGTTTACTATTAGTTGGCAGTCCAGTGGTGGTGATGGAAGTGTTGATTGTGGGTAATCACAAGACAGGTCTCAGAGCAGAATGGAAGCTGGTAGGTCAGCAAGAGGAAGATGAAAGCAAACCCGGAAAAGAGGAAAATTTGAGGCCTGTACCATGCAGGCACACACACAGTTGCTCAACATGTTGATAATAATAAAATACTGCTGGCTCAAGATATCCAGTATTAGCCTTAAATATTAGCAAAAAACCAGTCTAGTTTTACATGTTTTCCTCTTTTAGTAGATTCTGTGAAAGCTAAAAACTATTGCTGGGATATTAGAATTCTTACCAGAAATTATCTTATTAAAAATAACTTCTGGTAAACACAGAAGAGAATATTCACCTTTTGGTCATTCGCCCCCTTTTTCCTTGTTTCATTTCTTCCTCATTCTACTAAGAAAAATTATGATGTTTTATCTTAATAAAATAACACTGTGCCCCACCCCCACTAAATTTCTTACTCTTTTCTGGAATAAGGAGTTATTTTTTATGTTTTGGATTAATGAGCTCAACTTTTGTTTTTAGTGACCATCTTTGTTGAGGTCCACGTTTTCACTCTTTTCATTATTGTTTCTACAATTTCACTGGCCAAAAAAAAAAAAAAAAATCACCCAGTAAGCTTTAGAAGAGAGGATAGATCTTTTAAGTGTTCTTATCACTCACACACACACACACACACACACACACACACGTGTGCACACACACACAAAGGGCATGTGATAGATATAATGATGTCACTGATTGTGATGATGGTTTCATGGGTACATACTTATACTCAAACTCATCAAGTTGTATACATTAAATATGTACAGCCCTTTGTACGTCAACCATGCCTCAATAAAACGGTTTAAAAAAATATCCATTCACAGTTTCACTTCTCCAGCCCCAGACTGTGGTTTGGTGTGGCGAAGACCAGGCTCAGGTACTCTAAATATGTGTTGAAAGAGCATCCAGGGTAATTGTGATATGTGGGGCAGAGAATGAGCTATGAAAGTCTGCCCCATTGCCTTTAGAAGCTCTGTATTTTCCAGATTACCGGGTAATAACAATCTTAACCGTAGAATCCTCCTAATTTATTTTGTATCCCTGATGCTTTTTGCACTCTGTTAATTCTTGACATCATTTTGGTTTTATAGAAGTAATTAATCATTAAAACAAATCCTAGTACTTTAGAATGGATATTCTAAATCTTAAAATACACCATCCCTCCCAGTCTAAATGACAACCAAAAGACTGAAATACTTTGGAGAATGGGCTATTTTATTCTCTCATGAATTTTGCCTGGTGCATGGAACAAATTAGAAGTCTACAAACCTTATAACTTCAATTCCAGATGTTGACCTGAGATTCTTAGGTGTACATCTATGCCCCAAATAGTTTAATACAAACTTTGCTTTTAACATAGTATTTTGTAAATTTAAAGTTTTTTCTTCTATTAAGTTATCTTTTGTAACAAATTTAGAAGATTACTGAAATTTTTAATTTTGAAAATTTCAACTTTGTTAATCTCTTTCACACCATATATATGTATGCATATTATGAATATGTTATATATATCATATATATCTTGCCATATATATGTATATACATTATTATTATACGTATATATAATTTCCAATTTATTTGTTTCCTTAGATTTAAACATTTTGGCAGCAATACGATTCTTGTTACTCTTAAGTTATTAAATAAAATGCTCATCTGCTTATCTCTATAGTGGAGATATTTTAGAATCTCTCTAACTGATAGGATTTTGACAAAGACTTAAATCAGATAATGTATATACATTGCTTATACCAAAAATCAGGTATAATTAATAAGAGCTAAAACATTAGCTATTATTATTATCAACTATTATCCCATGATACTCAAATTTTTCCAAATATTCACCCCCTTGGAAAAAGTTTCCTATATGAAAGAGGAAAGTGTAATAAAGGGTCACACAGCAAATAGCTTGTTTTGAAGAAGCTGCTAATAAAACATATATCTTTTTTGAGGTACTCTCGTACTTTTATCCTCTGTTATATATTTTCAAATCATTGTTGGCATAATTTTAGGCCAAGTAGGGAGCAACAGCAAACAGAATCAAATTTCCAAATTGATGTTTTTGTTATATCTAATTATAAAGCAACCTTGAGGGTAAAAAGGCATATTTTGCTAATATGATAGACTGGATTCATTAAAAAGTGAGGGGAGAAGCAGGTTTTGCATTACGATCTATACACAAACACACATACACCTCCCCAAGTTTTAGAATTGAGATAAATATGTAACATTATAACAGTATTTTCAAGATATGCAACAATAAAGTGGGGAAGGCACAGTGCTGGTTCTAATTTATAAATGCTAATGCAATGGGCACCAGAATAAGCCAGCAAATGCAGAGCTGGGAAGCCAGACTTGGAGGGCTTATAGAAGCATGACCCCAGGAAGAATAACTTTCTCTAGTTGTCCAGATTTCTTGGAGAAGATTCTAAATAGTTTTTCTATAAAATGTAAAAAGCTCTGTGGAACAAAACCACTCAATTTATCATTATAATTTTTTTTTTTTTAAAGAGAGAGACAGAGAGCATGTGTGCGTGCAGGAAGACGGGGAGGGGCAGAGGGAGAAAGAGAGAGAGACTCTTACACAGGCTCCATGGACAGCATGAAGCCTGACCCGGGGCTAGATTCACAACCCTGAGATGACCTGAGCCAGAATCAAGAGTCATACACTTAACTGACTGAGCCACCCAGGAGCCCCATAGCTTGTTATTTTCATTCAAATGTCCTTGGTTATATTTCCTTAATCATTTTTTAAAAATTTTTTGACATACATATTATACTCTAGATCTAGACTTTATTTTTTTAGAGTAGCTTAAGGTTCACTGCAGAATTGAAGGGAAGGTACAGAGATTTCCCATCTACCCCCTGCCTCCCTCGACATGCACATTCTCCCCATTTATCAACATCCCCAACTGAGTGGTGCATTTATTACAATGGATGAACCTACATTGACACATCACAGTCACCTAAAGTCCACGGTTTACGTTAGGGTTCACTCTTGCCATTTATTCTTTGGGTTTGAACAAATGTATAATGAGATTTATCCACCATCATTGTATTTTACAGAGTATTATAACTGCCCTAAGATGCTCTTTGCTCTGCTTATTCATCCGGCCCTCCCACTACAACCCCTAGACACCAGTGATCTTTTTAGTGTCTTACAGTTTTACCTTTTCCAGAATGTCATATGTTGGTATCATACAGTATGCAGCTCTTTCAAATTGGTTTCTTTCACTTAGGAAAACATATTTTAGTTTCCTCCACATCTTTTCAAGGCTTGACAGCTCATTTCTTTTTAGCACTAAATAATATTCCATTGTCTGGAAGTACCATAGTTTATTTCTCTACTCACCTACTGAAGGACCTTTTGTTTGCGTCAAAAAATTTTGGCAATTATTAAACTGTTATAAACATCCATGTTCAGGTTTTTGCGTTGACATAAGTTTCCAGCTCCTTTGGGTAATACCAAGGAACATGACTTCTGGATCATATGACAAGAGTAAGCTCAGTCTTGTAACAAACCACCAAACTGTCTTCCAGAGTGGCTGTACCATTTTGCATTCCCACCAGCAATAAATGAGAGTTCCTGTTGCTCTACATCATTACCAGCATTTGGTGTTTTCAGGAATTTAATAGGTACAGAATTGTATCTCATTATTGTTTTAATTTGCATTTCTTTGATGACATGATGTGGAGCATCATTTCATGTTTATTTGCCATCTGTATATCTTTTTTGGTGATGTATCTTTAAGTCATTGGCCCATTTTTTTCAATGGGGTTGTTTATTTCCATATTAAGTGTTTAAGAGTCTGTGTATTTTGGATTAACAGTCTCTTATCAGACATACCTTTGCAATTATTTTCTGTTTGTGGCTTGTTTTCTCATTCTCTTGACATTGCCTTTGACAGAGCAGAAGTTTTTTAATTTCAGTGAAGTCCAGCTTATCAATTATTTTTTCCACTGATCGTGCCTTTGGTGTTGTGTCTAAAAAGGCATCACCATACCCAAGGCCATTTAGGTTTCCTCCTATGTTCTCTTCTAGAAATTTTACAGTTGCGCATTTCACATTTAGGTCTGTGATCCAACTTGAGCTCATTTTTGTTAAAGGTGAATTCATTTTTTTAGATTTTTTGTTGCTGTTGCACAAATATCCAGTTGTTCCATCACCATTATTTAAAAAAAAAGACCTCCTTTACTCCACTGCATCGTCTGTCTTACTTTGTCAAAGACAGCTGAGTGCATTTGTGGGTTGGGTCTATTGCTAGATTCTCTATTCTGCTCCACTGATCGATTCATCTGTTCTCTAACCAACACTGCACTGTCTTGATTATGGTAGCTTTATAGTAAGAGTTGGAGTCAGGTAGTATCAGCCCTCCAGCTTGGTTCTCCTTAAACATTGCGTTGGCCATTCTGGGTCTTTTGACTCTCTATATAAACTTTAGAAACAGTTTATTGATACACACACACACACACACACACACACACACACACACACACACACATATTGCTGGGATTTTGACTGAGATTGTTTTGAATCAATTGATCAAGGTGGGTAGAACTGACATCTTGACAATACTGAGATTTCCTATCCATGGAACATCCATTTCTCCTAGTTCAACTTTTTTTTTCAATCTGTATTCAGTGGTAGGATGAGGTAAGGAGAGGTGCAAGAGGTTTCAGAGTATCCACCCTACATTCAACCAGAGGCCATACTTTTTTTTTCATTTTTGCCTTCTGCTACAGATTGTCTTTGAGCATAGGTTTCTGAAGGTAAGAAAGGATCAAAATCCACTATATTAAGAATTTTTTAAAGTAATGATTTTTGAAGGTAAAGGGATATTTTTATTTTTTTATAAATGTATATGCATATATATAATTACCTAAATATATCACTCTCTACAGATGTACATAAATATATACATATATAAATCTTGATGAATACTAATCACAGAAAGTCCATGCTGAGCCCAATTCCTTCATCTTTTGTGATTATATTCCTTTTCGGAGTCATGATCTGATTCAGTCAAGAAGGGTATTTTCCATTCCAAGATCATCAATTCTACTTCTACTTCAATTTATCCACCAAAAATTCCAAAAATGTTACATTTTGAAATAGTGTCACTTTTGCTCTCATTATCATTTAACAGTAAATTAGGAAGCTAGAATAATGAAAAACTTAGCCAGGCCTTTATGATCTTATGGGTCCATAACTACTTTTGTTTACCAAACTTATTACCTGAGTATGTGCGGCTAATGATTTAGGTCTCATGACCATAGTAGACAAGTTATGCATTTATTTTTAAAATGAAAAGTGTTGAAGCCAATATTTCACAAATCATATCAGCTAGTCATTAGGTGTTCTAGTTTCATAATTCTATTCCTTTGGTTTGTCTTTGCCACTCATCAAAATATAACTTTTCCTTTTTCTTTACCCCCTAAAATCTCTCAATAAAACTAAGTCATTTTCTATTATAACCCATCTCCAAAAATTTTAGTCGTACCGTACCTATATTTTTTGGTAGACCTGTTTGCTCCAAATCTTTTCAAAGTGTGTCTTTTCTTGCTGTCTTTGCTCTCTCTTTTTGGCTTTTCCACTTCCTATAAATGTAATGGGGAAATGGCAACCTCAGGAACTGAGAAAAATCTAGTTAATGAATGGGAATGGAAGGAAAAAGTATTTTTTTAACCTTTATTCATGAAAGTAAGTACAATTTTTGCAAACTGTGTTTTAGAGGTTATAAGATATTGAGACCTGAAAATAAGGGTTGGTTGTTTTTTTTTTTTGTATGTATCTTGCAATTTTTTTTCTTTCTTATCAAATACTTTCCTTTATTTTACATTTTTCTATCCACACTATGCCTAGTAACTTCTCCACTGAGTTCTAAACTTCTCTATTGTTCCACCTCTCATCCTTTAATACTGTACTAAAAGAACTCCTACTCAAAACTTAACTTTATACTAATAATTCAGAGTGCTATTCTACCAACAAGTGACAGAAATGAAATTTTAGAATTGTGAGTTAAAGCTATGTGGATTGCTCAAAGCGTAACTCCTTACATGGGCTGTCAAAAACATATTGATAAACAAACTCAAGTAATTTCATTGTATTACAAAATATAATTAATTTTTCTTACTTCTATTTCTACAGATTCATGTAGCTTCTTGCAGGTGGCTGAGAAAGTTTCAGATGTGCCAAACTCAAAATACCAAAATTTGTTCTTCATTCTGAAAGAGGAAAGGAAGAAGCAGCTTAGGCAATTATCAATAACAGAAGGGATTTTTTTAAAATTAAGTAGCCCTGTCTTGTATTATAAGTCATAAAAAAGGTTTGAGGACATATAACATTCATAATGTAATAGATGGTCACATAATTTTCAAAGCTTAAATGTTGGTGTCAAACTATATGATTGCCCCTGAGGGAATTACAGGAATGTGTTGATCTGACAGATTCAAGTATACCTTTGACTTTTCTATGTATTGGTTGCTCAGATTTTAAAATACGATTTTAGTGCTTATAAATCTTAGCTTGATCTTAGACAACTTGATTTAGACCTGCCACTCTATAATCATAAAGAGAAAAAACAATTGGGCTTTTTATGAGAAAAATGAGATTAAGCTAACTATGTTAAATTTTTCTTGATAGTCATGTACTCATTAGAAATTGGCATGATTGGATAGCATATTAAAAAGAAACAAATCGTAGTTATCCATTAAGCTAAAATTTAGTAACTTTGGGATAACTATTCATTATTTTTTAAGATAGTATCCACCTTTCTATGAATAATAGTGGGAAATTATGATACAATATACAAGAACTAAAGAAGTGGTAATAGTATTTTATCAATATAACAAGAGTTACAAAGAAAGTATGGTTTAAAATATTTCAGTATCAAAATTTATTTTCTCCCATGACCCAAAACCATCTCTTTCTTCGTGCCTGGTAAATAAATTTATGATCATTTAATGTAATTTTACAAGGACTGACTAAGTTTTTATAGTACCCAATACTGGATTTAAAAGTTCATTCTCATGAAAAAAATGCAGTTCTTAATTATACATATTTTAACAAGGTGTTATGCCCTCAAGTAGAAGAAAATACAGGTAAAAGGAGATACATGTTTTCACATATACAGGCAAAACAAAAATTTTTGTCATATTCAAATCTACCTCTCATATTATATTCTTTTTGACTTAGAAATATTGATAATGTGCTTTTCACATTACAACCTAAAACATTTCAGCAATTAAAAATACATTTGGCAAGGACCTTGCTATTTAATTCAGCCCTATTATTTGTTAGGGAAAACAATATGGAACCTAATTCAGTGTTCATTATTACACTGTGTTGAATAGAGTTCTGTGATATGAAACTACAAATTATAAAAGTAATCTCATTTACCTAGACATGTTCAGTAACACAGCCTCGTCCAAGATCTTATTTCCTTACAAGATTTCCACTAGCCATTCTTGTATCAGTTGCCTTACCTGTGCCAGTAATCTGAAAATTTCCTATTCCTAGGATTCTGGTACTATGAACCCTCATTCTTTTCTAGAGAATATTTTCCTTGAGTTATGACCTGAGTTCATATATCTGAGTAGTTAAAAATAGATGATAGCTAATTTGATAGAACAGGGGCAAACATTTAACATCAAGATCTGTGGGCCTAAGCCTACATGCAAATTTATATTAATGCAAATATCTGCTTCAGAGAATATATATAATTTTACAAATTTATTCACTGACTGAAGTTACAAAAATTAAAAATATTTTCCTATTGACTCATCATTCTGATGAAAACATGTTATTCAGTAATTGAGAGAGAAATAGTCGTCATATGCAGTAGTTTTGAGACAACCTTAGAATAATAATAAGCAGATGTTTTATGACTGTTTGGAATTGTCTTTCTACATTCAGCAAGTTTTCTGGTAACATTTTTGCATTAGCATTTTATCCAGACCTTCCTGGATTCATTTACTCATCCATTCATTCATTCAACAAATATTTAGCAAGGACAGCAACTTCCATATGCTACTGTAATAAGTTCTAAATATATAAATATGAATACAATTATCTTTGTCTCCAAGGAACTCAGAATGTTGTAAGATGATGGGCATATAAGTTCATTAAAAAGTTAATGCTCTACAAAAATATGAGCCAAATGTTATGGGGAAACATTTCAGTGTGTCAACTACTTTTACCTGGGAGGGTCCAGAGAGCTTTAGAAGAGAAGGTGACATTTGATTTGGTTAAGTCAAAGGAGGCAAACGAAGAAAGACAAGTTCTGGGCAGTTTTAGGAGTGCAGAATGACTTAAGAGAATGCTGGGTATGAGCTAACAAGGGTCTGTTTCAGAACGTGTATGTCAAGTTAAGGGGTTTGGACCTGATATTCTAGATTAATAGGATGCTGACAGAAGTTTATTACCAGTCAAGTGACATGGCCAGTTCTGTTATATGAGCAACAAGTTTAGCAGAAATGAGTAAGAGGGCTAAAATGTTGAATGCTAGTAGTGTGAACAGAAATGTGGCTGTTGGAATAATACAAATGAAGTATCACTGAAGGCCTCAACCAAGTGGGGAGGGAAATGGAGAAGAGAGGCTCAATCCAAGGAGCGTAAGTGAGGTAGCACCGATAGGAATCTAATCGTATTACTAGATTGTACTAATTTCTGCCATACCCAAGTTATTTCTAAGTGTACATGTGGGAATATCAGAGCATTACTCCAGCAAAAGAAGGGCTTTGGGTTTATATTATGACAGGTTCTATCAGGGATATAATGAATACTGTATTGCAGTTTGAATATATAAATATATATATATATATATGTGTGTATGCACACACACAGACACACAGACATATGCACACAGACACATATACACACAAGACTTCTTATTGCACATAAATGATTACTCCCTATTTTTTTCCACTCTACCCATCAAAATTCTTCATAGCTTGATTAGGATGATGGGGAGCTTGTATCAGCTAACCAAAATATACCAACTTTAGTAAATACATCACAAAAAAAGAAATTCTGAGAATTTACATTCAGCCTTTACTCACCGTATTAGTTAGCATTACTGCTCATGTGCAAAAGCTGCTTTAAATTCTCCATTATTACAACCGTTTTATGTTTCACTTAGATAAATATATGGAGGTAATAAAAAACACATAGCATCAGATTCCACATGACAAATTAAGAGCTGTTAAATTTTATTTTTTCAACCAAACTGGTCTTTAGGTTGTAGAAATGCAAAAAAGCACATTTAAACATGTATGCTATTTATTTTTATGGCTCACATTAGAAAATGATCCAAATAATTCAAACTCAAATTTGTCAAAGAGAACCTATAGCTTTGGACTTTAAGAGTAAGATATCTGGATGTTTGACACACTATGAAATAGCCACACCAAAGTCAAATTTATTGTATTCTTAGACAGGTTTTGTGATTGTAGGTATGATGACAAATCTCCTACAAAAAAGTTATTCATACTATTATAATTTTAATTAATATATTAAATCCTATTTCAATGAATTTAATTGTAAGTCTACAAGTTTCTTTTTAATATTTAAAGTGCTTGGTTACCAGATGTTCAGGTAAAAATTCAGAAAAAAATTAGCGCACATTTATCAAGATTTTCTTACTAATAGTAGCTTTGCCTCTTTTACATATCCTCAGGGAAATGTAAATGATCAGAAATTTTATTCAAGCAAAGAATCATTCTCATCATTATGAAATTTAGGTAACATTTAGTTTTCTAAGTTCTGAACTTTCAAATAGGTAATTTAATTTCTAGCAATATACTTTCCTTGGAATTTTTCTTCCTGGTATACATGTCTTTTGATCTGGTTTTAGTCTGCTAAGTATTGTAAATGCAGCAAACATAAAACAAACAAACGGAACATGAATTGGCTAGTACATTTCCCAAAAAGAATAACAAAGAGCCTAATTAGATATTAAGCTCATTTCTAATGAAGATGCAACATTCAGAGAGGGGTCAAACTGCCTCATTTATCTTGCTGTAGAAAGCTCAAAAGTCATAAACACACAGAAAGTTTTAATTCAGTGAAATTACTCTTAAAGGTCAACTTTTTTTTCTCAGAAATGTCTTGCTTTTATTTTTATTATATTATAAATACATATAAAATTACTAATATATTACTACTTAATATGTATAAAACTAAAAAGCCTTCTATTAGACACCTGAATCCCCTTTTCAAGTCCCTTTAACTAAGCTATTCTATCTACATTATATGGATAACATGCTCATCAGAGTAGAAAATAAAACCCTTTTGATCATTGCTTTTCATATGAAAGTAAACACACAAGGTCTTAAGTAGCTTAGGGTTAAGAAGGATTTAAAACCAATACACTTTTCTAATCATTAAGGATGTTTCAAAAATCTCATCTTTTTCATTAGCTTTCTTTCACTTTTGTCCTGTTACGAAAGTATTTCAACAGTTAACTTCAAATCTGGTTTGAAAATTATTGTCTCGTGGAGAACAAGGTTTCTAACAACTCTCTAACTTTAATGGTAAAATTCAGTCTCCCAATTCTATGGAATAAGCTAGGAGCAGAGCAGGAATTGTAAACTTGTCTAACAATGTCCGTGACAAGAGCTGCAGTACTCGTGGCTCACAGCGATAGGGTCAGTGTTGAAAGTGGGACATTTATGTCATAGAATCTATTCACTTTTATTTGTTTTCACTCTCAAAAGGCATTACACATAACATTGGTTATAAGGTTACTCATTTATTCCGAAACGTAGTGAGGTATTATGTTTAAAAAGACACCACAAGCCGAGTAGTAGCCCACCCCACCCCCCAGTGGAAAAAGCACTCACGGGGTAGGGTGGGGGACAGTAGGGGCCAGTAGGGGTGGGTAGGGGCCAGTAGGGGCGGCCGGACAGCAGGGTGGCAGGGCAGCAGGGCCGCGTTAGGGCCACAACTGACCATAGGTTAACAGAGGGGTAATGGCTGGGGACACCTGCAGTTTATCACCTCTTGAAATCGGTCAACTGTCATCTGTATGGACTAGAGTAATAGGCATTTGTTAAGAATGAACACCATACCCAAGCAAATGAAATGAGCAACTTCTTTTTTTTTTCTTTATTCCTTTTCTTTTCTTCTTTCTTTCTCTTTCTTTTCCTTTTTTCTTTTGATTGGTAACTATACCTACACTAATAAATGGTTGTGAAAAAATAAATGGTTCAAAGTTTGAGATTTT